ACTCAGCATTTTTTTCTCTTATGAAGTCAGCCTTTGTGGAGGAGGATGAATCTTTGATCTTTAGCAATGCCTTTTAAATGTGGTTATGGCCAGAAAAGTGAATGTAGAGAGCTCAAAGTCAATATTCAGTGTAAATGCATTACAGGCACCTGGAAAGAGCTCTTACGGTAGCTGGTGAATTATACCTGGGATGAAAACACCAGTTACTGTCCCCTCACCAACTCTTGTTTTCATGGCCTTTCTCAAAGAGCCCAAACCAGGGAATCTGGAACCTCTAGTGAGCTTTCCTTGCCAGTGAACTTTGGATAAGGTTAAACTCCTCTAATGTTAGAGTCTCATCCAAAGCAAACCTCCAGAGGTTTGAGATGACATTAGAATATCCTAGGGCTAGCTCTGTTATTAATGTAGTCATTAATAAAGGCTGTGTCAGCAACCATAAGAATATCGAGGTAAACGATCTGCTCGCAGCATTTGCCAATGCGAGGTGAATCACATCATAGGTCTTCACTGCACAGTTCACCCAGACGTTTAATCCGAGGCTACTTCCCAGGCCCGTTCCGTTCATACAGAGCCCAAAGTGCCCTGCTCAGTTCATTAACTCAAGTGCAACCTTTTGCTAAAGCTGATGTGCCATTTGCACTATGCAATAAAAGAACAGGATAACTCGCTTGAAATGTTAGTCTGTCAGGCCTCCCCACAGAGTTACTTGTGTGACCGGAGGAGCAGATTGGCTTTCTTGCAGCACGCAGGGACAGAATCAAGGTATACCTCACCTTACTGAAGCACTTAGACCTGAGGCCGGTGTCCATAGCCACCCAAGCTGGGTGCCTGAAGAAAATTCTGGGAGAAATGGAGGAATACACCGAGTTTCCAGTTTCTTCCTCAGGCAAAATTTCAGCTGATGGCACTAAAGCCCAGCTCCTCACAGCTACTTCGGCATTTAACTTAAATTCAGATGAGTTGATTTCAGTTGGTGTTAGGCACTTACATAGTAGCCAGGAACCTAAACACCTCTCCAGACATGGGTCTAGATGATTTGCCTATATATATTAAAAAAAAAAACCCTGCAAATTTGACCTTCTACAACTATAAGCTTTTATTAAAGCTAATAGTCATAGCACATTTTGTTTCAAGTCATTTCAGCAGCCTTTCATTTGCAGCAGTCCACCAGCAGGCTGCCTTGAAGAGGCTGGGGCTGTGCTTTGCAGGGAACTGGGCTAGCCTGTTGCTGTGCTGGGAGCTGCCGTAGATGGGACTTGCCACATTTATGCCAGGAATGTGATTAAAAACTGGAAAAGCTGAAGCCAGTGTATTCCCAGAGGCAATATAACGTAACGTATATGCCAGAGTAATACACACAAGACCCCTGTCTTAGACTCAGTCTGGCCAGCTCAAGGACACAGCCCAGGAGGTGATAGCACGGGGGGGATCTCCGGTGAGGTGGGCCTGTCTGGCTAGGTTATGTTAGCACCTTTAACGCCTTGCCATGCTTTCCCAATTGCCCATCTCCAAACACTCAGTAACTCTAGATCCCAACAGGATGGAAATTTTCCCCTCCGGTATTTGATTTAACTGTTGATCTTTTCGTCAGCCAGAACTGAAGCTAAACATTTCCTGATCAGATTAGGCCCCTCAAAATTGAATCTAGCCGTGCAGAGTCGCTGATAGTAAATACAAAGACGCTTCTAAACGTTCACCATCTGGGTCTGTAGCCCAAAATCCTCGTGAAGCCAGCCCAGCCCTGTCCTCTTCCAAGAGCATGAATTGGATTCCTGGTAGTTCTTTCTGCTAGGATGTTATCTGCATGGTCCCTGTACGCCCTGCAAGTTCAAGGCTACCTGTTGCTTGACGCCCCTTTGTTCTTCTCTCAAGCTGTAGAGGTACACACTGAGAAGCTGACTGCAGCAGGGGCTGGCAGCGTGCCACTTAACTTCCCTTGCATGCAATCGGCAATACTTGTTTGCTATTTGCATGCGCAGCCCGAGAGGGAGCAGGTGTTACAAGCCACTATCTCTCCCTGATCTGCAGAAGCTCTGTGCGTCTTCGGTTCCCCCAGAGCCCTGACTCTGTAGCGTTTGTGGCTGTAACTCAGGGTTTTAGCTCAAACGATTCCTGGTTCAGTAACTGTTTGGGCCTGCCGTGATGGCAGCCATCACATTTGAATTTCTTTTCCTGTGTGGGACAGGATTTAAAAGACGGTAGAGTTTGCAGTCTGGATGCATTCAAGCAGCAAAAGGCATAGCTTCTCAGCAGACCTGCGGTCTGGGTGTAAGACTACCATTATTCTCGTTAACTCTGATCGCTGCTGTAGGCAGTGCCTAGGAGCCACTTTGTTTTTCAAGGAAGATATTTATCTGAGAAGGCAGACTTCTCCATCTGACATTCTGTGTATCAGAGAAAAAGTGTGTACTTGCTTTTTCTTAGCTCTATGTATGTAAAGATAGCTGTATTTGGATGCAGGCCTAACAACTGATCCTAGTCCAGGTCTGCTCTTTAGCCTGCCCTTTTTTATTTTTATTTTTTATTTTTTTTTGCCAGAAAGATCCCTGTTTTCCAAATTTTGTCCATCAGAACCTTTCTTCAGAACAAAAATGACTTTTGGCAGGATCAGAATTTTCCCAGATATTGTTTGTCTTCCTGAAAAAAAAAAAAGCTTCATTTATCTTTTTAAACTGGAAATCTCCAGAATTAAACATTTTTGGAATCTCAGCCAAGCTTTTTAGGGCATTTTCTTCCATGACTTCACAGTGGCACTCATAGTTTCCCTGTCTTTGACCAGTAAAGATCACCTTTGCCCTGAGATGCATAGCTGAGGCTGGGTCTAGAGAGTCACAAGTCCTTCCTTCAAAGCATCCCAGGTATGTGGGTTTCACCCACCACCTCATGCCATAGTAAGGGGAGCCCCACAATTTTTGCACTGAGAGGAAGCGGAGCCTTATGAAAGATGTGTCATTTCAGAAGCCCCATCTGACACATCCAGACTTTGGCAAAAGGGAGAAGCAGCTAGTCACTATATCCTTGTCTCTGATTGATAGAAACGCATACTCTTTATTTTAGGAGCTGTCACCTGAAGATCTTGAGTTCTTACGCCTTCCTACGCAGGCAAAGTTAATAGCCTGAACATATTCTCAAATCTCTTTGAGGAGTTTCTGACCCAAGCCTGTGAGATGCATGATGGCACTGGAAGGAAACTCCTCCCAGGGATGTCTTCCACTCCCAAGAGTACTGCACTTAAACCGAGGAACAGGAGAAGGCACTTCTGAAAGGTTACGCACCCACCAAGCTGAAGCAGCTGGAAAGGATGTGTGCAGGCCGAGCGCCTCGCCACCCGCAGCATTAGGCAGTGTGGGGCCAGAGCTCTCATTTTTGTTGTTTAAAGGCTGTAGCCATCCCAGCTGATCAGTGTGAGAGGTTGCTCACAACATTATTATAGCAAATACTGTGACCTCAGCAGGACTTCTGCACACGTTTGAGGGTTCCATTGAATTCCAGCTTAGTCAGGCCCACTTAAATTCTAGGCTGCTCAAGTTTGCTTGTTTGTTACGTGACCTGAGATCGGAGATGAAAAGTACTGATATTTGTAAATTCAGAGCATTGACTTGACTATTATTTCTAAGTGGGTTAATTTCAAGCTGAGAGGAATTCTCATATTTGCCCAGTAAACTGTAACTATTGACATTTTTTGTGATGATATCATGAGCCTGATAATATGATTTTCACTTAGAAATGTGGAGCTGCTGGAATCCCCTGCTTACCTGAGATTATACATTTTCAGAATTTCTTTTTTCCTCCTGGGCTGTGCAAAAACATCGAAAGTCTAACTCCTAAAAGAGAAGGGGGAAAGAAATAATTTATTATTTTTAAGACCTTATGATTTGGACTGTGTCTTGTGAATTTTGAGCACCAAGGATTTAGCAACCCACCAGCTTTCAAAGTAAAAACAGTCTCTGTATGTTCACCAGTAACCCACCGCTGCATACACACAGATGTTACAGGTCTTTTGATTGCTCAGTCCACAGCGTAGGTGAGTCTATTACTGTCTTTGTTTTGGAGGTCTGGTCCATTAACTCACTTAAAAGTAGCGTGCGCTTTTAGTTTGGGTGGTTCCTCGTTCAGTTTCTGACTTGCCAGCCATAATGGCAGCTGTGTTATATGTGCTCAGTGTACTTCCACAGAGAACACGCAGACCCTGTCAGATGCACTTGGAATAAGGCAGGACTGTGCCAAAGCCTTTATGAGCCTGGCATGCTTCATTTAGAAAACCGAAGTGCATCAGCACAAGGAAATTGATAGTCAAAACTTTTTGTCAACATTTTGAGTTTCAACAGGAAAAAATGGGATAACAATTTCCTGTTTTTAAGCGTTCCTAGAAATGCCTGGTTTGGTAACTCACCAGCCCTATATTTCCCACAAAATAAACAAAAAGTGTAAAGTAATGCATATTTTACTCCACCACTAACACCCATAACTCTGACCTGTACTGACTGCTGCTCCTTCACTAGTAACCTCAAAATATAAACATCACACAAAATCCTTTGAAAGATGATGTATAGAAATAATATGCACCTTCAAATGACACTCCAGAAATGTTACATACTCCATATCTCTTTGGTTATTTTTGGACCAGCAAATGCAGACAGGTGGGCATGCAACTACAGAAATTCACAGATGAAGATACTTTTCAGAGACTGTTTATAGCAAGCAATGAGAATAGTATGGCATCCAGCAGCCACCTTTACTGCTTTGCAGAAGTCAAATTAACCTTAACTCTTGCCCCACCCAGAGCAACACACAACAGCCAGCAAAGGAACCCACTAGTTTTGCATACGGGTTAATGGACCCCAAAGAATCTGATTCAATCTGCGATCCGGACAGATGGCAATTTCAGACAGAGCTGGGCAGCTGTGGGGCCCTTGCAGGTGCTCACCAGCTCAAAGAGAGAATGAGAGTGAAGTTACTAGTTTAGTCATGACTCTGAGCGCTTGTTTTTTTCTCCTCAGGAGGCTCTGTCGGTGGTGAGCGACGACCAGTCCCTCTTTGACTCCACATACGGCGCTGCCACTCACCTCCCCAAGGCAGATATGACAGCCTCAGGGAACCCTGACTATGGCCAGCCGCACAAAATCAACCCTTTGCCACCTCAGCAAGAGTGGATTAATCAGCCAGTCCGGGTTAATGTTAAAAGGGAGTATGACCACATGAATGGATCAAGGTAAGGAAAGACCATCTCTCCATGTGCTGAATCTTAAATAAAAGCAAAGTGTGTGTCATCCGTTTGTGCTCTTGTCCTACATATCACCAAATCACCTCTTTGTGTAGTACCATATTCTGCTCCCCCTGGAATCAAGGGTTCCTTTCTCACTGATTTTTTTTAATGGCCTCAGGCTCTTGCAGTTCTGCAGCATGCATCCCTACCAGTCTCCATGAACGCTGTACAGACTGGGAAGTGGGACTGCCAGGACAGAGTTCACGCTGGAAACACTATTGTAAATTACCCATTTCATCACTGGGTTCAGCATCCCACAAATGTGCCAATGGTTCAAGGGGCTCCTCAAGATGGAGCTGGCCATGCAGTAATAGTCAGTACTTATACCATACCAGTGGGCAAAGTATCACCTCACTGGAAAGCCGTTTGTGAGAAAGAGAATCTAGGAGTAGATCAGAGTAGTGATGTTAACCACCAAAGAGACACTGCTTATGATGTACCCTCTATGGCTTTTAGCCATAGAAGCCTGAGGCCTGCCCACCAGAATTTGTAGTTAGAGCTGGGGGAGATGGACAGTTTTGTTGTTCAATAAGAATTTCAAAGACTTGAATTTTCTTACCACAATTCAAACTGTCTTTTTTTTAACATTTCTATTTTGGACAAAATATTTACATATAAAAGTTTCAAATTATTTCAGTTTTAAATGTATACAATAATGAAAAATTACTTCATTTTTAAACAGTTGCAAATCCAGTCTTAAGGATAGGCCATTTTGATAGCGGCTTTGCATTGTGGATGAAAGAGTCTATGAACATTTGTAGTCCCTCATGATGTTACGTTATGTTGTTTAGAACCTTAAAAAGACATGCTGGAATGGCTGACACATAGGAGAATCTTTTTCTTGGTATATGAAAGGTGAGATTTTCTTGCTTTCGTGATTATGAAAAAATATACAAATTTAACCTTTATATGGCCTAAAATTTCCAAAACCCTGAAAGCAAAATAACCCAACAGTTATTACTATTTGAATAAACTAAAGTTGTGATTTTGTCCGGAAGGCCTCACTCAGATTCCTGTTAGCCATGCTCAGCATCAAACTGTTTTGCACGCATAACAGAAGGGAGAAGTTTTCAACATAAATTTTCAGAGACTAAACAATTATATAAATTGCTCATGCCAAGTTTGGCTATGTCAAAGTCTTTGTAAATAACAGTCATAGCTAAAAGTGTTCAGCAGTAGGGTTTTCTTCCCTTTGTCCTGCATCTTTACAAGGGTTCATTTGGGGGAGTTTTTTCTTCTTGTTAGTTTAGGACTTCCATAACAACTTATTTTCTTGGTTTCTGAGAACTTAGCAAAGTCTAGTTTGAAACAGAAAGCAGCCTCACACTTTTAGATTTCTCTAGAGAGAGGATGCTGTTAAAGATTTCAAACAGCAGCATGTCTTTTTCCTCGTAAGTATACAGTAGATGCTGATTTTACTGTAAGATAAAAGTCTTTGCGTCAGTTGGTCTTTGCTGGTGATAATTCACAGACTGAATTTGATCTTGCCCTGGCTGTACCTTAATATCATTTCTGGACTTTGGAAGATCTGTATGGATTTTTTCACAATTCTAATCTCATTCTAATCTCAGAATCAGGACTGAAACACAGGAAAATGTTTATATAAAATAGTTATTTCTTGAACAATGCCATCCCTACAGAACACAGGCAATGGGGAGGGGTCTCGAAAGTACAAGCAGGTTGGCGTTTTCTGCTAGTCGCAAGGACTGCCTTTGGCAAGCAAGGCTAGTCTTCTTAAGCTGTGTCTACGGTCTTCATGAAGGCAGTACAGAAGGGACTGCCTTCTAACAGAAGAGGCTTGTGCATGGTGCTGCACAGGTCTGACCTCTCCATCCCGTGGAGTTGTGAACCAGTCATGAGAACTGAGGTGGCAGCATCACCCTCACATATGGTACAGGCAACAAGCATGCAGGGAAGCCCTTTATACCAGTGCATTGGTTGGTCAGACTTTAGATGTTTTTGTGTTTCCTCCCATTGCTCTACTTGTCAGTCCCACTCTAGCAAATGTCAGAAGGCCTACTGAACAAGTAGTCCTGTCACATCTGCTGAGCTGCCCGTAGGCAGCACAGCACATGTTTGTGCTTTTCGGATGCTGTAAGCACATGCTCTGTATGGATTCTGCGCGTATGTGTACCTGTATGTCCAAAAGTCTATGTAACATCCTTCTGGTATGTGTATTATAAGCACCTGGGAATCAGACATATTGGGCTGTCCTTCCATTGTGATCTTTGATCTCTCATTCATCTAATTTAGCCATCCTCTCCTCCAATTCATGGCTAAAAATCTGCTCTTTCCCCTCACGTCCATCCCAGTCCATTGTTATGGGTTGGGCTGCTCCATTGCTTGCTCCTCTGCCCATCAGCTGCTTGGCAAAACTGACACCATCTGAGCAGCAAACGCCAGTCTCAATACAGATTAACTTGAACTGCAGGCTGAATAACAAAACCTCTCCCCCCTCCCTCTCTCTCTCTCCCTCTCTTTCTCTCTCTTGTTTTTCAAGCACACCCTCTTACCCGGTTCCAGCTGCCTCATTAGAGAGGGCAGCCTTTATTCTGTGTTTCACCTGTACATGAAGCACTAGCATTTTCTGCCTGTCGAGAGAATGGTTTGTGTACTCTAGGCAGTGATAAAGCTATAGGAAACCTGACAGTGGAGGGAGCTGGATGACAGTAAGGGACAGTGTCCAGCTTTTCTTCTTTTTCTTAGCAAGCAGAAGCAGGTTTGATAGTGGCGAGGGGTAGTGTGATGAGTTGGTTTGGTCCCTAGGTGGGTGGGAGCCAGGGATCTTTGAAGAGAGTGGTTCATAGAAAGAACATCTCCAAACCTGTTCTCCCGGGCTGTCCCTCTAACTGCTAAACAGTATTGCAGCACTGACCAGCTTTCTACCCCATGTCACATTTTCCTGGTTTACTCTCAAATAGGAAAGAATTTCCCCGATAGCAGCACACTCCCTTGGGTATACTGGATATTTGGGCAGTGACAGAAATCTGTATTGTAGGTGAGACAATGGGACTTCTGTATTACTGCAGGATTCAGAGGTAGACACTTTGTGAAAGTTTCAAGTGATTATTATCAGCCCGGGATGCAGTATACAGGCCCAAAATCTGTCCTTGCCTTTATAGACAGCTGCTTGTGCAGACAAAACCCCACTGCTACAGTTGTATTTTACAGTGGTTAGTGTCCAAACGTGAAGCAGTTAAAATCCAACATAGAAAACTTAAAATTCTTGTGCTTCTTACCCCATCATAAGCATTAGCAAAGGAAAATAGTTCAGTATTTATAGTGCTGACCTGTTGCACAAAAAATAGAGGTCTAGCTTTTCCATGGGTTTACTGAAAGATACTGTGTATACCATTCATCTTTCTTTGCATCCAGTCTGGGACTGAAAGCGTTGCTTGCAATCGTCTTCTCTGCTGGTTTTGTGTCTTTTGTTTATTTAGTTTATAACCCATTAAGGGAAGAATCTGTCTTCTACAATGTGCTTGTACAGTTCCCAACATACTAGGCCTGGATTTCAGTTGAGGCCCTTAGGTTCTGTTGTAATATAAAAACAATCCTATATATGTCTTTTTAAAAACAAATATCTTTTTTAAATGTTAAATTTCAAAGAATAAAGGATGAGAGTTATTTAGAAAAAAGTGCTGGGTAAAAAATTAACGCAATTTACAGTCAGTTTTAACAAATAATAGATAGGTTTTTCCTTATATTTTCCACCAACCCCAAATGCAGAGAGTGAACCAAACAACAGATGTTCCAAATTTTGACTGTATTTGCTGATCTACTGCAGATCTGCATTTGTACCAGAGGTCAGAGATTGATCTTTAAAAAGATATCACAAAATCTATATAATCTTCAAATATGAAAGAATATTTCAGTGTGCTTGATGCACGCATGGACATGGATGAACTTAGCTGTGCAATTCCAACTGACATTAAGAATTTTGTCTAGCTAAAATAATGAAGTCAGTGCTTTGAAAATGCTCTGAAAACATGCTCTTGCTTCAGAATATTAAAATAATGTTAAGGTTCAGGAATCTCAAAACATTTTTATGCCATAACAATTTTCCCAAAATAAAACAAAGGGATAAGCTCTGATGAGAGAATAAAAAATCTCCTTCAAATAGCATGTGAGCCCTCTAGTGGGATTCACTATGCTCTGCTGTAGGCACCAGCCAGAGCAGCAGACTGTGCAAGCACCTAGCGTCTGTGTGTTACCTGTGTGTGGGAAACACGATTGGTTTAGACCTCACTGAGCCTCTGGGCTTTCCTCATGCAATTTGAATTTTATAAACCATATCTCTTCTCTCATCCTTTTTTTCAGCTCTCTCTTCTCTCTACAGTCTTAGAAACAGTGCAGGTTATTTTTTTCAATGTGAATCGAAATTCAAGTGTAAAGATTGAAAGTGAGACGATCAAATGGGGACCTAGGCAAATAAGTGAGATGATAGATACTTAAAAATGATGGGAAGAGAGGCGGAATAGAAGGGTAAGAAGAAAAGGGTAGAAAGAAGGAGGAAATATCCCACTGACCACAGCTGAGTCAGGTTCCGAAATCGCTGTAATCCCTTATTTTGCTCTTTTGAATGAAAGCCGAAAGCAATTCCTAGACAGAGGCCCTGGGACAGTAATTGCTTTATTTCCAGGTATCTGGAGCACAGGATGAAGCTGTTTAGAGGATTTATTAGTCAATGCCAGGCTAGCTGCTTGTCCATTTTGGCCAGTCTAGCAGAAACTTTCCCAAAACACCAAGCTCTTGGCATCCCCAGAGACTGCTACTGGTGCTGCTGGAATGAAGAGTCTTTGGACAGACAGTGGGAACGAGTACTGCTTCATACTCCTTGGACTCTGCCACTGTCACAGTGAAAAAAACTTAAGAGATGTTGTGAAAGCAGCCTATATCCATTTACTTTAGTAGATCTACAGCATTTTCTGCCCAGAACCTGAGCAACTCCAGCATGTACAGCCATTCGAAAGTCTAAAGCAGAGGGTGTCTGTTAATAGTCAAGGAGTAATTTGGCATCTGAAATGCTTTCACACAAACCATTTCAAATAATGAGGAAATTTTTATAGAAATCTAAATCTGCTTGTGGGTAATGCATACACCAAGAAAGGAGCTATATTCAATGAATACACTATTCACGGCATGCAGCTCCCCACTCCCATTTGATCTTTTAGTTGTTCCTCGTACTGAACTCTTCTTTGTATTGCCCACAGCTCACCTGTCTTCTGCTGGGATAGTGTTAAATTCCCCATCTTAGAACAGGCTGGGCTGAGGCAGTACAGAAATGGACCTCCGGGAGCTGCAAAGCTGATTCAATCAGGTAGTGCTGTCTCATTTCCCAGTAAAAGGCCCCATTTGGATCTGGTAGGAAATTATGGGTTATAGAGGATGTGGAAGTAAGGATCTTCCCGCTTGCTGTCATTAAACATTTCATGGTATTTTTCTTAAGAGAAGGACAGTTTGGTCTCCTGCCCAATTAAGCATTGGTAATCCTACTCCCAGGAATGTTTCTCCTCCTCCTATCAGATTTCCACTGGGTTTAGCTCTGGATCCAGCCGTCTTGAAAACTTTCTCAGGGGGAAGGGAGGTCTTTATACAGCCACAAGGGCACAACTCTGTCATGTATCTGGAGAGCATTCGACATATCACACATGATTAATGGAACGGTCTCTCTTCCCACAGTATGCTCCTGGGGCAAAATCAGGAGTTGGTTAGGACACCTCAGTCCCTTGAACTTTTTTTCATATCTCAGCCTTGGATACTTGGTTGTCTGGTTTTGGCTGTTGAGATGTACAGAGCGAGACAGAGGACAGGCAGGGCCTTAGCTGCCAAGCCAAGGGAGATGACTGTGTCTGCAAAGTGAAAAATCATCACAAACCCGCTGTGGGGATATCTTACAGTGTTGCTGTTTTTTGTGTTACTTTGCTGTGTCGGTCATGTGAATATGCGCAATACTTAGCAGGGAGAATAATGACAGCGAAGGACCCTGCAGTCCTTCATGTGTGTCATTTCATTCCATTACCAAGTATTTATACTCCTAGGCAGATAAGCTCTTCAGAAGATATACTTATCTGAGGGTCTGAATATATTCCATTGTTCTGTATAAATAATTATATATGTAACTGTACTATCATAAATATTGCCTATCTCAGTTAAGAGGGTAATTTTCCAAGGAAATTTAACTACAGGGCAGTTAAGATGGACCTATTAGAAGGACCCTGGGCAGCAGGGAGCAGTGGCAGCTGCTGGAACTCCTAGCAGGTGAGATGTGCTGACTGCAGAGAAGTCAAAGAAAATTTTACTGTTGATTCTGAAGGAGCAAGAACTTGATCCCATGAAGTCCTCACTGTGTGAGGATGTGTGTGTTTGGGCCTGCCGCATCAGCTGGGCTGCGCACACCATTTAAAGTCAGAACCCAGCCTCCTCCAGCCCCAGCCAGGGCACGTGAGCAGGCTGGTCACTCCTGGAGACGGTCAGGACTGACCCGAACAGAAACCAGCACCTTGAGCACTGATGCTTTTGCTGTTTCACTGAGTTTTCTCAGGACAGCCTGTACCTCAGCAAAGAATAAGATCCTTTGTGCTGCTTCAGGACTTTTTCTCTGCCAGCACAGGCAGCATTTAACACCTGACACAGAGAATTTCAACAGAAAGTTAGAAACGATCACATTCCCTATGAAAACCCTGGTGTCCCTGCAGTTGCTCAGACTCTCCTCTGACTGCCATGGGGACATTAAACCTTCAGCAGTTTGCTTCTCTGAAGGCGGGTTTTGGTTCCCTGCCTGGAAAAACAGTAGGCGAAATAGTAAAACCTTAAATTCAAACATGTGTAAGTTATACATCTTATTTCCATTTTCAAGCAACATTCCCTCAGCAAGACATGAGGAAAAAATTACCATCTGCCTTAGAATATCTCGGTGGAGCATTTATCTCCTAGCCATGATAACTGAATTTCAGTAATTTCTCTCTCCCCCCTGTTCAGATTAAGAAGCAAATTTGTTTAGTGTCCAAACTTGGAAGTCTTGCCAACTGAACTCACAGGGTGGGATTTGGTGCACTGTCATAGCTCTTACCCTTCAGTGAATAGTTTCCTCCCAAGCCAGTTTGGTTCTGGCAGGGAAGAAGGATGGTTGTGTGATTAAAGCAGTGGACTGAACTGTACTGGATACAGGCTACATGCTTGCTTTGCACAGAGAGTAAGACTGCCCATTAATACACCCTTGTAAGGATCAAGGTAATAATCCTGCCCCTTTCTGGTAAATTCTTCAGGTTAGAGGTGTGCTGGGTGCATGTAGCAGGCTGTGGACTAGTATTTTAAGTGACCTCTAGAGCTAAAAGCATGAGTTATGGCAGCTGGAGAAAAACAAAATCAGTGCTCCCTATCTGTGGTTTGTAGGCTTATAATTCTACCAAAAGAGGACATAGAAAGACTACAGCGCTTGCTTGCCAAGGCTCTGCATGTAGTCCAGGTCTTAGCACAGTGCGACCTCAGCTGCTAAAGGCCCCCTCCTCATAACTCCATCACCTCAGAGGTCAAATTGGGGCCAAAGTCTTTTTTCACATGCAGTTTCTGTGGTCTGAAGTTCCTGACTCGTGCCTAAGGCACCTAAGATTTCTGGATGTCCCATGCAAGTAGTAGGCAAGCCTGGGACTGTTTAGCCGTTGAGAAAAGACAAGATCAGTTACATTCAGCCCTGTATAAATGAGACTCTTTAGATACTATGCTAGTATTGTATTACTCTTCTCTGACTAACCTATCATTTTTGCATGGGTGTTTTGTATCCTTTGTTAATAAAATTGGGGTAGGGGACGGTGCATCTGATTTACACTGCAGAGATGCCTTAGGTTATAAGTTGAGAAGCACGGCCTTTGTGTCAGTTGATAGACAGACCTAACTATATTAAAAAGACAGCATGCAGAATTGTTTATGATCCAGCCCAAGAGTGAAACAGTCCAACAAGGACTCCTAGGAGTATCAGGCTGTATCTGAAGGGCCACTAAAATGGAACTGAGCAATACAGGATGCAGGGAGGATGTAACCGATAGGCAGACCTAAAACCTACTGTTGGACACTTATACATACTTGCTTTTGTCTGGTTCATAAATTTTGATATTTCAGATGTATTGTGATCTTATAGCTACGATTGGTTTTATCTGGAAGTCATTCTTCCTTGCCCCTCCAACTCTCTTTCCTCCAACTGATTTCATCATCAGAGATCCCTTTCATGAGACCTGTGGTTTATAGAGCACCTTATGACATTCATGTGGCAGCCCAGGCATAGCCTCTCCCACATACAAAGAAACTCCTCCAAACTTTCCACCTCCAGGACACTTGCCCTTCCTCTGCTAACATTTTTGTAACCCAAATCTCTTTCTGCTACAGCAGAGGTAAAAGGTGCATAATAGCAACCATGATGACAAGTCATCTGTTTCCTTTCCCATTTCAGGGAGTCCCCAGTAGACTGTAGCGTGAACAAATGCAGCAAACTTGTCGGAGCAGGGACAGAGTCCAACCCAATGAGCTACAGCACCTACATGGATGAGAAGAACGGGCCTCCCCCCAACATGACCACCAACGAGAGGAGAGTCATTGTCCCAGCAGGTAACCCCAACATCAAACTCTACGTGTCTTATTTCCTTGCACTGTCTTAAATATCCAGTTGAATAGATAAGGCTTGTTTATCTGCTCTCTAAGGAATTCTTACCAACCATGTAAAAAGTGAGGGAAAAAATCCAAGTTTCTGGCTAGTGGGAATTTCCTGTACCTGAGTATATGTTTTGACCTTGAATCAGAATGAGAAGTCAATTATTGGCATTTTTTTCCTGGAATGAAGTATTGTTTTGGTGTGCTGAACCAAATGCGGTTCCTGTAATGTGTTAGAGGACAATCCGCAGTGCTTCCTGGGACAAGCACAATGTGACAAAAGAGCGCAGTTTGTAAGCAAGAATAGGCACGAAGTGCACCCAGACTATAACTCCCATGACGCTCTGCAGGATCTAGATGCACTTTCATGTCATATTGATTCAAAATGAGCTATTTTGTTTTCATCTTTTTTGTTAGTAGTAGACAACCAGAAAAACTGTATTTTGCAGAACCTGCGTTTTCCTTCCAAAAACTATTAGAAGGGAACGTCCTTGTCCAGTTCTCGGTTTTTATTTGATATTCATATCTGCAATCTGAAGTTGGTAGGATACATTAAATGTATTTGGATAGTCAAGGATGAGAGTTGCTGTGGCAGGCAACCTGTGAAGTCCAAACCTGGAAAGAGAGAGAGACTTTCCCCTGCAAAGTTTATATACACCATGGATATAAGCAGTTTAGCCCGGGAACTTTCCAGCAAAGGAAATATTATGAGTCAAGTCTTGGCCCAATTTCAGTACCAAAACTTCCACTGATTTCCAGGGGTCCAGCTTTTCACCCAAAGTGCTGAGGGTTGCGGCTGATTCAAGCAGATGAACTGTTGGCAGAAAGAAATGTACTTGTGGAATTTAGCTCTGTTTTCTGATCGTGGCTTGACCACGAACAGATGACAATTCCCAAGCATTTGTTTGCCATTTGGGATGAAAAGGAAAAGCTTGAACTGCATGTAGTGAAGGGAAGCCAATAAAAGATTGACAGTGAATCTCAAAGTACAAGTTAAGCCTTTGTTAGGATCTGCTTAGAGAGGCTGGCTAGCCTAATTGGTGACAGGATCAGATATGTTTTCAGCATCAGCCTTGCCTAGAAAGGTGTTAGGTGATACCAACTGGTCATTAAAAAGGATGGTAAAGATATTGAAGAAGGAACACTTATCCTGCTCTTCACCACACTATTTATGCATACTTAAAAAGACCAAGGGTGGGCCAAATTTTTTGCATTCGTGTTGAAATGGGAGAAATGATTTTTAGTGCCCTCAGAGGAAGAGAAGGCTTAAAATCTCCTCTTTGAAGGAAAGTGAAAAAGGGACTTTTCTCCTCATGAGCACCCTCAAATCAAAACCCTGAGATACTTGTGAAATAGCAGTGATTTACCAGACTCTGGAAGACAATAATGAACATCATCCCAGATCTCTGGCTGCAGGATATGAGGCCCAAATTATCCAAGAAAGGCATTTGGAAATGGTAATACAATCCAGAGAAAAGATTTACAGCACATTAGGGTGAAGATAGGCAAAAATAATGTCACATTAGGCTTGCAATAGTCATAATAATGAACTCTATGCAATGTTTCAAGAAGGCAGTTTTTCAGAGATTGTTCAGCATCTTTTGCAGTGATAAATAGGCTGAACGGATATCTGAAATTCAAAATCATTGTTTGAAGGGAGACCACAAATTCACTTTGCCCCTAAATGTTGGGTTTTAGAAAACAAGACAAATAACTCTTCCAATTTAAAAAGGGATCCTCCCTTGATACTTGCATTGTAAAATTTGCAGCTTTTTGCCAGTGCTTAGAAAGCAGAACTTAAACTGACTGTTGCTGAACGTTAAAGGAGATCTTTCCCAGAGCAGACTTACAAACATATGTGATTGTAAGTTCCATGTTTAAAATTCAGCTTTAACAACCCACGTTTATTAGAAAATCAGTGATGAAACATCATTGTTATAAGTAACATTCCTTGCTCTTACTCCTTCATTTTACGCTGTTATTCTAGAACTCAGCTGCCCAGGAACGTACCACGTACAGCCACTACCGGACCTTTTGTGCAAGGGATCCCTGCAGCCCAAGCACACACAGCTTACAGTTCTGAACCAAGGCATTATTTTATGTCCTGCTTCTATAAGCATGATACAGGCATTTCTTGTCCCTCCCCAAAGCACAAGTTACCAGCTGTGCAATGACTACATGTACCTGATTTTCTCACCTGCTTTGGGATCTGAAGTGTTTGAGCTTTATCTTAGAGGAATGTGCCAGTGGTGATAGACAGATCACATCCAGACTTCTCCAAAGTTTAGGCTATGAGCTTGGCCTCACAACTCTCTCCATACGCAATGGAACAGGAATTTGCAGCTTAAATTTTCAAATGGAATACGTGGGGAGAAGTAGCACAGGAAACATCTGAGAATGCAGATATGCTCTGAAAAATGACTCTGTAAAAATGGCATCGCGGCACAAGTTCTTGCTAGGACTTTCTGATCTAATGCTCTTTTCAAAACTCAAGGATGATTTCTTTTTTTAACTACTGATGCAGCAAACCATCACCATGGGGTCTGAAACTCCAGCCGGGTTCAATCTCTCTCTTACGTCATCACCAGTAATAAAGATTCCACAGCTGGAACTTTGCTGACAGTTGATAATGATGCATGAGACAGTATAAAATCCACATCGCCCTCCAATAGCTATGTTGGTTTTACAAGGCTAGCAGAGGTAGAATTGTGTTCTTGTCAGCAGGGCAAACAAATGTGACTCAGGGATACATGGCAAGCTGTTCTGTTTAAGCAGTAATTTTTTCAGAGTCCCTTTGCTGACCATAAATACTGCCATCCTCAAATTTTAAAATGCCATCTGTTGGGACTTTGTAATGCACTTGCAAAGGATGGTATGACTTACACAGCACTGATGTAATTATGTAGCATTGCAGAACTGAAGCTGTAACAAACATACCCTTTTTGAAGGGATGAGTTAGCTTTTGGAAGCTTTTTCCAGAGAGAGAAAAGTCACAGTCAAATGGTGCTGAGATTGCTCTCAAGCAGTAGGTATAAGATTCAGGCAGGTGGGAGACAGTCACGTAAACTTACCCTGCCAGGGGGTCAGTGTGATCAGCCTATGCCTTCTGCCCTTTTAAAACACACTTCTTGCTCATCTTGGCAAAATGCAATGGAATCAGTAGATTAAATGCATTTGGCTATGGAAACAATGGTTAATGCTATGCTTGGACTACAGTGAGTGCTACAGGATTGAGGCTTATGTATAGTGTTACCATCCTTTGTGCTTTTCTGCCAGATCCCACTCTATGGACACAGGAACATGTGCGCCAGTGGCTGGAATGGGCTATAAAAGAGTATGGATTAATGGAGATTGACACCTCCCTCTTCCAGAATATGGACGGCAAAGAACTCTGCAAAATGAACAAGGACGACTTCCTCCGAACCACCTCCCTCTACAACACAGAAGTTCTGTTGTCTCACCTCAGTTACCTCAGGGAAAGTAAGTATTGCCCTGACTAAACCCAGCTCTGGTGTGACATGCTGGTAAGACAAGCTGCCATGAGGTTTGAACTTCTGGGACTCTTCTTGGAGGAGAGACAGAGGCAGGGATAAGGGAAAAAGAACAGAGAAAGACAGTAAGAAGAGAAAGCAAACAAAGAAGAAAGGAATAAAAAGTGTGTGGGAAAGTTAATTTTAACTTAGATGGAGTTAATGGTGCTACAAGATATCAGGGAGGTGAAGAACCGAGCAGGATTCTTAAGAAGATTAGATAGTCTTATAGATAATAAAAACATCTGTGGCTATATGATAAAAATACATCCATCTGCTGTGATGATTAAACCAAATATTAACTGATGGGTCACAGGCAAATTATTCCATAGCTTTGCAGTTAGAGGGCTGTGCACTTTTCCCTGAGGCTCCTGGTAGAGACTGTCCCTGAGTCTGGCCAGAGTTTAAGAGTTTCTATGATCCTTGAGGACTGGATTTGTTGGAAAGAGAAAAAAAAATACAGGAGTGATTCCCCAAATACAACTGCACTGAAGCAGACACAGTGCAAATAGCCTAGTACTCAAAGAACGACAAGTTATGCTGAATCCCTTTATTCCCACTCTCTCTGTCCCATACTAGAGTATATGATGAATATAATACTCCATTTTGCTTTACTAAGCCCCTAAGACAGAAGCTGTGGGCAGTCTTCTGAGCTACTTCTGGGAAAGGATATTGCAGCAGCCCAAAACAGGAATGATCACCTCATGCTCAGCACACACTCTTGAGGCCGGGAGTCTTAGACTTGGACCTTTCTAAGACTTCCTGGGCAACCATGACCATGTTCATAACTTCTGAATCCAGAGCACTGGAGCTAAGTCCCACATGCTCCAAAATTTTGGTTAAATCGCCTGCCCTTCATTTCATGCCTTCGGGGTTTGGAATCGTGAAGGTTTCAAGTGAAACAGTGTTTATGGGAGTATAATTATTTGAGGACTGAAAAATCAGGGGAAGGTGCCATATAACAAAGTAGGAGAGAGAAAGAAAAATATTGTCTCCACTGGGAAATCAAATCATGAAATAAAAGCAGCTTAAGATGCCTCCATCTGGCCAGTGCAATAATGCAACAAGACAATATTTATTTAGGATGGGTTTTTCAAAAGTTATTCAGCACTAGTCTCTCCCTGCCTCTGTCAAAATCAGTGGGACTTTTACAGATTACAGTGGGAGAAGAGTTAGATCACAGATGGGTGCCTCTGTAAGCCCCACCTTTATTTTGTTAGGGAAGTGGAGCCAAGGAAATGATTCACAACAAATTGCTGGATTTGAGTGGTTTTTGTCCCTTGTGACTGCACAATAAAAAAATTTCCTATCCAAAATAATTTGCAAATTTCATCCTGTTTCATCAGCAAAGAGCTCTCGGTTCACAGAACACTTCAAGATTATCATAGGTATAAACAGCTTTCTAACTAAGGTTAGCTGAGAGAATTACACGTTTTTGAGGGAAATTATTAAGGCAGTTTTGTGAAGCAAGTGTTGCTTCTGACAGGCATGCTGTCTTCGGCTGGGCAAATCAGGCGCTTTGTAAGCGGAAATGTTTTTAAATTCCCACAAGATAAATACTCAAGTGAGACACTTAGTTTTGAATTGTCTTGTTGATAAGACTTGAGAAGTCACAGAGAAAGATGAAGAAAGTTATATGTTTTTTGAATCAGTGAATGAGGCTGAATTTGAAAAGGTTGATAGAAGAGTTAAATTCTTCATTGCTTCAGAAGGCATCTTCAGTGGTGGTGTCAAGCGTTACATTTCTCATCACTTGGGGTATTTAAAGAGAGTATTAGAGGAAATAACATCCTAACTCTTATGGCATTAGCCTGAAGAACTGGATTCTATTGCTGCCCCTACCATCTGCTGCTTTTTGTTTATTCAGGAGCAACTTTCTGATTGATACAATCTAAGTTTAAGCACCCAAAGTTCTTAAACCAGAAGTCTGGTCACATTGGTCTCCATCTATAGAAAAGAAGCAGAAGAGCAGAAGGGCACACTGAAATTCAGGATAGTAGGCCCCTAGCATAGGTATCCTGTTTCAGTGCCTGAAAGAAGGAGGGATGAACCTCAGCCTGAATTTCTCTGTGCCTCAGTTTCACAGTCTGTAAAATGGAGCTAATAATACTGCCTTCTCAGTCCTTTTATCTGCCTTGTCTATTGAGATTGCAAATTCTGTGTAACAGGAATTGTGTCTCCTGTCTCTCAGGACCCAGTATAATGGAGCCCTAATCACGGTTGCAACTTTACGTGCTACTGCAATGCATGTAGAATAATAATCATAAAAATATAACGTTCTGCCAGGGGAATGCCTACCGTGGTTTCCATGCTATGAAGCTAGTGCAAAACCTGAGCAACTTTGCTGGATTCAGAGAAGTGACTCATTCCAATTTTACATAGATGTATATGAAAGGAGAATTCAATCCCAGTCCATTCCCAGCTTTTATGATTATAAGTTTCCCTCTGTTCAGCCCCTTGGGCTGTTCTAACATGTCATGCGAGTGCTGTCCTTATTAAAGCAAGCTCCTGTCTGAGTGGAGGTCGGGCAGCCTTCTGAAGAGCATTCCTTTCCACACAGCTGTTCCTAGCACTGCCTAATGGCAGTCTGGTTTCTGGAGTGCTGGTTAACTCCCTCATGGAGTAACGCCTTCAGAAGGAGTTTATTGTTTTTCCAGACTGATTTCCAGCGGATGTTTAGTGCCGAGCCTCTGAGCTCAGTGCCATGGGGAGATGGGTTTTTTCCTTGAATTTTCCCCTTTTGTAAGATTGGTTGTTTCAGAGATATCAGCTCCATTACTGTTTAGGGTGGAGAAGAGGTGGTGGTAACAAAACACAGGAGACCTTTCAGGAGCTGGAGGTCCATAGGCTAGAGTACCTCTACCCAGTCTCTCTCACGTAAGGTGTTTGTCCTCTCAGGGTGCTGAGCTGGATTTGTGACATCTAAAGGATCCTAAACTTTGGTGTTTGTGAACCAAGAAGGAAACAAAGCTGATGTGAAATTTCCGAACCTGTTTGCTCGTCGGGCAAAAGAGCTCTGAAAATGAGCTTCCTCAGAAGGTTTTCAATTTTCACACTCCTGACCAGAGTGAAAGCATGCTGAAAAGAGTCAATGCAATATGTTATAGTGGCACATCTGAGTACAGATTGAAAAAAAAAAAAACAGGTAGCATCTGTCAGACCTCAACAAAAGCTCAATTTTAATTTTGGAGATAGAAAGCTTAGGTGAGTTATTTAATATAGATGAGACTAAAGCAAAGTCATCAGACAAAACTTAGGTCTAGGTCAGAATTGTGCAGTTGTTTCCTGTTTTCATAATCTATCAAACTAAACACTCTGATATTTAGGAAATTTCAGACCTGCAGAACACAGTTTTGCAGCACAAGCTATCCGTCTGAGTCTCCCAAAACAGCCACTAGTTTTTCCAGGAAATATACCATTCTTTTTCCCTAAAAGATCATCTTTCTTTAAGGGTTTCTTCCAGTTTCCCGTCTGGAATTGTGATGATTAAGTCAAACTTAGAGCCATGCCTTGTCCTTTTCTGCTTCTCATTCATTCCTCTGTACCTTCAGACTCCAGACTGACTGACTGCTGTGCTGGTATCTTTTTCAGACGCAGTCTGCCTGGTGAATCTTCTCCATTCAGTCAGTGGGCAGTGGGAAGGGAGATTTAGACGTTTTCATGCTATGTTTGGGATGAACATCAAAAGAAGCCTGAACTGTCACACACCCCCCCACCCCGGTCCTTTTCCTCTGTAGTCATGGGGGGGTTCAGTTGCATGCAGTGTGTGCAAAAGAAAAGAGGCTGAAGGGGAAAGAATAGATTGTGGATAAAGGTGGAAGCAGAAAATTGCTTTGTGGTTTTGACCCATATATTAATGCCAAGCAAAACTTCAGTGCTAAAAGCACTGGAACCCTGGTTCTATGGGGGCAAGTCCAGACAGCCTCCATAAGGACAGGATAAAAAACACTGCCAGGTTAAATAGGCTTCAAGATTGTGAAGCCAAGATATTCCTGCATCTCAAAAGGATGAGCTGCCTTGTGAGAGGGAAGGCTTTATGGGGAAAGAACTCTCCTTGTCTGTTTTTCATTCTTTTTCCATTTCCCTTTTTAATTAATACAAAAGAAATATAAGAAGAAAGGAGAAGATGGGGGGAACCATAAGATAACGTGTTTGGTATTAATTACAGGAGAATAGCCTTGCACTTAATTACTAATCCCAGTGTTTCCAGAAAGCGCTGATTTTATTTTATTCCCCCTACCCCAGGTGGGGGTAGGGGGAATAAGAACAAAATGAAAATTCATCACAGCCAGAGTTTTGCCCAAGAATGATCAGAGTAAGGGAGGGAGCAGCCTGGCCTCTGTCTGTCTGCTTCTCTCTGTCCTGATCTGTCTCTCTGGCTTTCTCCCTTTTCCTTCTTCATTGAAAACCCTTAATAGGAAACACATTTCCTTTTCTGTGGTGTTCCCACCAGAAACCTCAGACTGTCGGGCAAAGGTGAGAACTTTTAGCAATTAAACTGGGGGAGGCGCCATCCCTTTCCAGTGGCTTGGGCTGCATTTTTTAGCATAAAGTAGCTATAGGTTGATCTTACAAGCTTATTCTGTGCTATTCACCACCCCACCCCCACCTCTCAGCCAGTCAGGCAACCAAGCATTTGCAGCCTATTTAGTCATAGAAAGCTGCATTTCTGAATTCCCCAGCACTTCCCCGTCTGGCTGGGGCAAGCTGGGCTGGGCTTCACATTCAGGATCTAGTTCAAATTAACCTGAAAAAGAGAGAGCAGGGAACAGGAGTTTCCTGCAGATACTCAAGAAAGAAATACCAAAGCCAGAAAACATCTACAAAACTGTTGCATTCCTCCAGCAGCAGCAAAAGACCAGCCAATCTCTCTGAATCTTCATACCACTCACTATGGCTATCTGTGACCCTCACAACCAAGATGTCCTTGGGATCACTTTGCACTCTT